CCGGAGCGCGCGGCGTCGCAGACTGAGGCGGCGGCCGCCCGGTGGCCCCGCGCGCCGCGGCGATGCCGGACCAGATCTCCGTGTCGGAATTCGTGGCCGAGACCCTCGAGGACTACAAGGCGCCCACGGCCTCCAGCTTCACCACGCGCACGGCCCAGTGCCGCAACACCGTGGCGGCCATCGAGGAGGTCGGTGAGGACCTCGCGCCCTGGCCGCCAGCGCGCCCGCCCCCGAGGCCCGGGAAAAGTTTCTCGGCCCCGAGCCGCGGAGCCCGCCGCTCTGCCCGAGACAGAAGCCCTTTGTTCCCGCAGAGGTGGCTCGGGCAGAGGCCGGGTGGCCACCTCGGGCCTCTCTGAGACCCTGCCCCCCTCGCCGCCCTCGTGCGGCAGCCTTTCGCCTTCCCCCAGCACTGCCCGCTGAGGCCACTGAGTCGGGGCCCGCGGGGGGCAGGAGACCCTTGCGCCCCGCCCCCCGCCCCGGGTGGTGGTCTCCCGCGCACCTCACCAACTTGTTCCAGAAGTGGCCCAGCAGGGGCAGGGCGGGTTCCGAGCTCGCGCTGCAGCCTCTGCAGGCCCCGCAGCGGCGCATTCGCGGGCAGGTCCAGGGGATCCCCGCTGAGGGAGAGGGTGCCCACCCTGGCAAGGGAGGCCCGGCTCCCCCAGGTGTGGGAGAGGAGAGGCGTGCCGGCGCAGTGTGGGGAGAGCAGGCAAGGTGGGAGGTTCCCAAGGCCCTCGGCCGTTGCCTGGGTACCTGTGTCTTACCTGCGGGAACCCGGATCGCCCCTCTTTCCCTCTCAACCTGGAAAAGGCCTCCATTTAGTAAAGTGCTTTCAAGGTGCAAAGTCACCCTGCCCAGCTGCTAGCCAGGGAACTCTCTAGGGCTCCGGGAGAGGAACCGTTTGGAGAGAAGCAGCTCAGGTTGAAAGTCAAAGCGTCCTGCAGAGTAGGAAGGGGTAGCTCAAGAGTCGAGGGGCCACGGCCGCCTGTGCTTGGCGACGCAGGGTCACTCCGTCCTCGTCAGCCTACCAGACAGGATTGGTAAGGCATCTTTTCCGCATCAGGGGCATTGTGTGTAAAGCGCTCTGCTCCCAGCCTGGCTCGTAATAGGTACCTGGCTTACAAACCTCACCTGTGGCAGCCGTGAATGGATGGTTCTATTTCTTTTGGTGAGAACATTAAACTGCAGTTTTGAAATTGGGTATAGTGTGTATTTTGGAAGAAAATACCCGGGTTGGAGTGAACTGGTAGAACGTGGGGGTCACTTAGAGAGCTTTGCCTTAAGCCATGGTGTTAAAATATTCCCTGCACTTGAACAAAGCATCTGCTGTTAGGAATTGCTTGGGAAAAAAAGTCTACAATGTTTTTCCTCAGTGGAAATTTTTTTCTTTGTAGACGTAAAAAGTCAGTACTAGGCTAAACGAAAACTACCAGATTCAGCATTCTGAATGTTGGAAGGATGGCTAGGGCATCCTCCTCCCTGTTTTTGGCCCAAGATCCCTGCATGTAAACATTTTTTTAGCAGTTCAGTAATTCCTTGAAATACTTCATTTTACTATTATAAGTAAGGCTTAGAATATATGCTGTGGGGTGAGACAGATAAGGCAGGTTGATATGGCATGGTATCGAGTTTTTTCACAAGTACCAGTTGAAAAGCAATAGGAAAATATTTATAATGGTTTGAAAAGACATCGTTAATAATGCTGTGGAAATGATTGAAACCAGAAAGGTAGCTCAGTAGTTCTTAAAGGAAGTTTTGTACATGATGTCTTTTTTTTTAAAAAAAGCTTGTGTTTAAAGTTCTGCTTTTTCCCACTGTAGTTTGTGAGTTAAATATTGTTAACATTGGCAGATGCTGGAAAACCAGACAAATCAGAGTTGCTATTAAAATTGGCACACCCTTTCCCTGATTAATTTTACCTTATAATGGATGAATCTAAAGCTCTTTTCGTGTGCGGGGCAGAAGATTACCCTAGAGCTCAGTTACTGAGCAGATTAAAGAGAGACTAGATTTGGTCATTTTGTTAAATTGCAAACGTGCTTCATCTTGCCATCCTAGCAGGAAAGTGGGTTCGTCTTAAAAATGGAAAAAAATCAAAATGATTGCAAGTTTATCTCACTTTCAATATATCCATTGTGCATATTATGACTGGCAGGTGCGAGCTTGGGTTTATAACCAAAATTGAAACTTGTTTACTTTCTGAGGGGAATTAACATTGATTGCTTTAAATAGTGCTTTTTTTCCCCCTCCAGAGAGTAATGTACAGTTCTGTTATAAAAACTTGTTCTGTGTTTTGTTTAATAACAGATAATGGCCACAGTATTTTGGTTTAAAGCAAACATCTGTGTATTTCTTTTAATTTTTTTTTATTTTATTAGTACATGTTTGCAGTTCATGCAGTGTATGGTCACCTTGGGGAGTGGGTACATGTGCATTCCATAGCTTGTTTCTTTTTAAAATCCCTTTTCCTCCCCCTCCCTCCCTCCTCCAATTCTGCTATCCCATTTTTCATTCTTGTTGGTATTATTAATCTTAGCTCATGGTATGGCATATCATGTTTACATGAATTGAGATTATTAGGTTCCTGTACATGGCACATCTTCATTCTACTTATTTCCCCTTCTCCTCTTCCTCAACTCTTACCCTTATCCATTGGTCCTCTTTCCTGTTGCAAGAGCTTCATCTCTTGTCCCCTTCTGTCCATCCTTATTAATCTCTTTGTATTTTGCCTCACTCAAAGGAGAGATACCATGCGGTATTTAAGCTTGAGTGTCGAGTGTATTTCACTCAACATATTTACCAGGTGCATGCATTTTCCTACAGATGTCTCAAATGTATCATTTGTGATAGCCGAGTAGTATTCCATTATACATAGATACCACATTTTCTTTATCCAGTCATCTCTTGATGGGTATACAGGCTGTTTCCAGGATTTAGCTATTATGAGTTTTGCTGCTGTAAACATTGGTACGCATGTGTTGCTGTAGTATGATGACTTCTTTGGGGAAGATCCCTAGCAGGAGAATTGCTGACTTGTATGGAATTTGTAATTTTGATTCTTTGAGAAATCTCCATACTGATTTCCATAATGGTTATACTAGTTTGCATTCCCATCAACAATTCAGAAGAGTTCTTTTTTCACCACAGCCTTGTCAGCATTTGTTATTGTCTGATTTCTTAATGCTAGCCATTCTTTCTGGAGTAAGATGGAATTTTAGCATTGTTTTAATTTGCATCTCTCTAATGGCCAGTGATGTTGAGCATTTTTTCGTACATTTGTTGAGCATTTGTATTTCTTCCTCTGTGAAGTGTGTGTTCATTTCTCTTGCCCATTTCTTGACTAGGTCTTTAATTTTAGTTGGTTTAATTTTTTTGAGTTCTTTGTATAGCCTAGATATTAATTCTCTGTCTGAGGAGTACCTGGCTAAAATTTTATCTGTCCTGAGATTGTCTCTTCACTTGCTGATGCTGTGCAGCTTTTTAGTTGATATAACCCCATTTGGTGATTCTTGCTATTACTTCTTGTGCAGTGGTGGTTCTGTTTATAAAATCTCTCCTGCACCTATGTCTTCAAGTGTTTTACCTATTTTATCTTCCAGTAGGTTTAATGACAAGACATCTGTTTATACTGAGATGAAACAGGAGAATGAATATTGTGATGTTAAAGTTTAGCAGAAATAAAATAAATTTAAAATTTGCAAGCTCTTAGTCCTATGTTTAAATAAATGAGTTCTGGGATTAGTAAACTAATTTTAAACTGATCAACCTTTGTGAATATATTTATTTCTAGTGGAAGCCTTGTCTGCTGAAAGTCATTATCCAGTTGAAATGTGCTTTTAAAATTTACACGTCTATAGCTGGAATATTAGTACTACGTGGCCTCTGCTCTGTCGTACTGCAAGCCTTGTATCTGTTGTCTTTAGTCCTTGTCCTTGATTTAGAGATGGAGAAATTGAGGCCCGGTGAAGTTATTTGTTCAAGGTTTTCAATTCGTTATTTGTTTTTTGTTTTTGTTTTTGTTTTATCAGGAATCGAGCTCATGACCTCAGGCTTGCCAGGCAAGCGCTTATGCCACTGAGCTAAATCCCAGGCTTGTTCAAGGTTATAGAGCTAGTAGGTGAATTTGAACTTGGTTCCTTGCTGCTTTCAGAAACTATGCTATTTCCTGTTTTACCAGTGCTACATTCTCTGAATTACATCTCAGATCAGTCTGGGTTCAAGTTCACAATCCACTACTTACTTGCCAGTCGTGTGAACTTGTGTGAAATACTTCATATGTTCTCATTTTCCACACTTCAAAAAGTCTAGGTAGGAAATACCTGTCTTTCTGAAGACTGTGACAAGAATTCACAGTATCTGGCAGACAAGTGGTTTAATAAATGCTAACTGCTTACCAGATCAGGGCATAAACTGCTTACTCAGACTGTGGGGTTTACACTGGGGAGAAGACTGGGGAAAATGGAGAAATGGTGGAATGAGAGCATCAGTGAAAACCACCACAGTCCCTTACCTCATGCATACTTCTTAACCAGTTTACTGTCTCAGCAACAGGTGAGACCATAGCTCATAGCTGTGTTTTAAAATTTCCACTTGGTGATCACTTTCTCTGGCTGAAGTAATTATTTTGCCCAATTTTAGCAGACTTAGCACAGTCTGGCACTGCCACTGGAGTCTGCCCCATGCCTTTGGAAAGAATGGAGAAAATAAGTAGTTGTGGCATAAATTTGAAAAGTGAGCTGCTGTTTTCCTTTTGTTTCTGCCTTGGTCTCTTTAAGCCTGTGGGCACTCGGGAATATTCTCAAAATAGGGAAAAATTGTATACGCACTTGAAATGTCCGTGCTTTTTAGTCAGGCCCGCCTTTATAACACCATCCATGCTGTCTTGCTTATTTGGCACTGATGTAATTTTAAAAATAAATTTGTTGTTAACTCATAAGTATTAAAATTTAATCTATTTCCTTCCGGGGCCATAGTTCTCTACTCTGTTGTCCTTGGTTACCTTGGAAATCTCGTTGTTGTCGTAAGCATTGGGTTCTGACTGCAGGGGGGAAATGAACATCTGGGCCAATCGGGCTCCTAAGAGCCCTGCTGTCCATGGGGCCAGAGCCCTCCCAGCAGGGGCAGTGGGAACTAGACCTGTGCTTTTTGGGAGAGGCGGTGGTTCCAAGACTTAGCCCTTGGAGACTGCTTT